AAGGCAGCTGGCAGTATCTGCTGGAGCCTTGGAAGGTAGGGAGCCCTTGGAGTGACAGTGTCAAACAGGATTAGTGAGGGTGTGCCCAGTGCTGCAAAACTGGTGGGGTGAGAGGCAAGAGTGGTAGGGAATGGGCTGAGAACCTGTCAGGATAAAACCTGCTCACACCCAGCTTCTGTCTCCCATTTGTGTCCCAGATTTCACATTGAGGACACTGGGACAGCAATGTCACCTGCAGGTGCCAGCTGCGGTGCTGGGGTGCCCTGGGACTCACCATCTCCGGGCATGGCTACACTCACAACTGCTCCCACTCGTCTTGAGAGGCTTATTCAAAATGCAGATTAACTTGTCTTAGATGCTGGGACATCAGAAATGGCCCTGCAAGGCATGAGATAAGGCTTGGCAAGRATTGTGCTCAGCAGGTGCCAAGAAGGGCTGATGGGCACAGTGACTGCATGCAGCCAGTGCCCCTGTGCCCTGCTCTCCAGCACAGCCCTCAGCACCCACTGCCATCTGATATTTCATTATCCAGCATGTCCCCACAGCCCCAGATAAAAATAGCAATTCAGAGCTGCGGTGTTGGTTCAGTTCCCAGACAGCTGGCTGAGGTAAATAATGGGTTAAGCATTTAGACATTGACCATTATTGGATTATACCAGGATCCTATCGGCTTTTAATCTGTGATAAGGTGCTGAAACATGRCTGTAAAATTCACTGCAGGCCTCACATATTTTTTCCTTTGGTTCCTTGAATTCTTCTTTTCAGTTCCCCCAGAACATCCAGGATGAACACAGAGCTCTGTGAATTGTCTCACTCATTTTTTACAGAGGTAATGCTGCCCCTTTACTTATTTGTTCTATTGAACTGTTCACATAGCCAAGGGTGGTGCTGCAAGCTGATTTTTGATTGGTGATATTCTGAATTCCCGGGATACATGTAAAACGACTAATTTTATGGATTAAACATTGGAGAGGTGGCCTTAGTTTTTAAAGGTTATATTCCCACTTGGCTCTTCTCATAATCACTGTTGCAAGGAAGATTATTGGGATGACCATAGCAATAAAAATAATAGAGGGAAAGTTCTTTTCCTTAGTCTGGAGTTTTGAAAGTCCTTGGGGCTTTTAAATTTATTTTGCACTGAACAGTATTTGTGTGTATGGTCTGTGCCTCTGCTTGCTGTCTATAAGCTGTTTTTTTCCAGAAAATATATAAACCTGCGGCTGGAGGTTTGTTGTTTTTTTTGTTGTTTTTTTTTTTTTAATTTTTAACATCAGGAGCTGTTTATTAACATCAGGAGCCCATTACAGATGAGATTGTGGGGGCGGTGTCTGATAAGTGGAAGCGAGATAGAGTAGAGGACTGAACCCTGAGTCCACCCCTTTTTGCTTCCTGCCTTGCTACTCTTCCCCTTTCAGCCTCTCCTTTTCATGAGAAACTACTGAACTTGGAGGAAAGGGACCACATTTCCATCACCATGGCACTCTTTTCTTCCCTCACCCCAGTCTTCATAGCCATTATATGTGTTTTGATTGGGGTGATARTGAAGAAGACTAATGGAGAGAAGGAAAAACGGGACACTAAAAGCAAGGATCCATCTCGCCCATGGGTGGATGAAGATTTAAAAGATGGCACTGACCACCCCTTAGAAGAAGAAGGTAAGAAAAATCTTATCCCAAGCACTTTTGTTGTTTGAATTTTATCTGCTGATATGAATAAAGGAGGTGCAATYTTCTGGACTTCTCCACAGAGACAGCAATGCACAGTGCAGCACTGCTGCTGYTCCCTGWGTCAGCTCCCAGGRARGAGGCAATCCTYATGTCATGTCACTCTTGGTGTAAATCTCTATTCYCYTCAGATCCCACAGATCAGAGTGYAAAAATTAGAAATAGAAAATATGTTCTCAAAGACTCCTGCCTGTTCCCCTGTACAGCAGATCTCAGACCTATGGGGGCATCTATGGCAGTGCAAGGAAAGTGAGGAGATCCTGCTGAATTCCCCACAGCCTCTTCCCAGCCCTTATTAGTGAGAGCAAAGGGAAGACCTGAGCAGAGAGTTTCTATCTGCAAGTCATCCCACTTTATCACCCAGTGCTACATATTTGGTTTCAGCACCCCTAAAAAGTTGGAAATGGATTTATTACTGTTTTTAAAAAGGTTCTCCATTTGTGGCTTCTGAGAATGTCCACAACAGCTTCATTGGGAGCTGTGTTGATCCAATATTTAAGAACAAAATGTGGTGATGGTGCTGATCTGTTCACTCAACTGCATATTTGAACCCATAGAGAATGCCCTTTGTTTTCAGTAGCTGCTTCTGATTCACAGCTTGGACAAAAAATTAAACACAAAATGTACCCTTCCTTCTTCTTAGTTCCTAAATATCCTCCATAAACTCACTTTATGTCCTTGTGAAATAAAAATCTACAGAGTTCTGTTCCTATGAAGTTTATAAAGTGGTAGTTATTACAGCTATTTTCTTTTTTCTTTCTACTTCAAGGTGATTTTGAAGACTTTTTAAGGAGTGTCTGGGTTATTTTTTCCCCATAATGACAATTTCTCTCAGCCTGCTTCTAGGAATCTTAAAACTTACATTGTTCTTCTGCATATAGACCTATTTCWAAGAACCATTATTGCTCTTTTTTCAGTGTTCAGTGTTCTTTGAGTAATGCTATATATCAGTTTCAAAAATAGTTGATACCAGGAAGGGTTTAAACCTTGCCGACTATTTTCCAAATATTCAAAATTTGTTTAAAAATTAATTCACATGTTGCATCCTCCTTAGTTCAATGCAAAAAAGGTTCTGTATAAAATTACGCCATAATTTCTTTGTCACTAATGGCTTACTAATTCAGCTAAATTGCTGCAAATTAAAATTCCTGTGGGTAGTTCAAATTATAATTGTCATCTTGGACTATAGCTTAGTTTCTATGAGTTTGAAAATTTAGATTCTCTGCATAAACAAACCTATTAGCTCTTAACAAGGAGCCTCATTGCCACAGCTCCATATATAAARTGTCAATATTATATATGTTAGTTTCTTTCCCTTTTATTCAGGTGCTAAATTCCAAACTGTGCTAGTTTAAAACTGTCTGCAAAAATTTTTGACAGGTAGACATGTTGGTACTGTTGCTAGAAGTTTTATTTGCTTTAAAATAAAACCTTTCTCAATTTACCATGTCCTCCAATATTAAATTAGGTTTTCTTGCTATTTTGCTTATGGCAACAAATAATCATCTTTCCCTTAATGCTGTRTGATTCAAACCAGTGTCTTTGCAAAACATTCATGGTTTTTATCTCTAAAAATATTAAAATAATTTCATCATTCTTAGGGAAGTTTTTCTTTAGCAGGGGAAAGCCCAGCCTAAGTGAGAAGAGTAGCAGGGAGGAGTGGAAGAGTTAGGAAGGATCTGCTACTCTGCTGAAGCTGTAATTAAGGATCAAAACATATTAACCTTGTTGCCAGTATTAAAATTTTCACTGTCTGCACTGATGCCGAAATAGAAACATGGATGTAAACAGAGATTTTTTTAATAGTAAATAATRCTTTACCTGCTGTGTAAATGCTGCTATTTTATTAATTTATCTTGCTTTACAGACAAGCACATTTCTACTTAAATACCTCAAGCTGGCTTGTGTTTAAAGATAAAGTTCCTCTGAATAGAATTTGAGTTAGGTAAGATGAAGCACTGTTAAGACCTTGTCTAAAGCYAGAATCTAGGGCTGTCTTAGAACAAACTGAACAAGCTGAATTTTCAACAGCCCCCTGAATAGGAAGGGGCAGCTAAAAACCAGGTCTTTTGATTCGTGTCCCTGACCAAAGCAAGGTCTATTTGCTGCAAGAGTGAAGCACTCTGCTGCAAAAGCACTGACCTTGCTTGTAGACATCAGCCCCGTGAGTCCTCCCTGAAGTGGAACCGTCAGGGACGCTTCCCATGAGAAGGACATACCTTAGAGCAGCAGAGCATTCAGTGTGAGTAGCTGAACTGCTTGGGCAGACTCAGTAGGGTCACTTATTGGCAATGAAGGGTAGAAGGGTGAGGGCCAAGTGCYCCTGAGCTTGTCAGTGTTCTGCTTTCCATAGCTGAAGAATGGATTTTTCTCGGAGCAGCCAGAAACACAGTTCTTATGTTAAGTGCAGAGCACTCAGTGCATTTGTTTAATGCTTTCACTGGCAATACTTCAGATTGGTTTGCCCATCTATGCTGTTGCCTTTTCCTTCATTTATAAGATCCAGAATGAGAGATTGTTGTGCTGTGGATTGGCAAGGATGCTCTGTCTGCGTATATCTGGCTTGCCATGTATAATTAGACCAGTTAGGTAAGATGAAAATTATGTTTCTTCAGCCTTGCCTTGAATAATGGGTCACAAGGGCTACCTTGCAGTAGCAGGCATCTTACCACAAAGTGGTGGTACCTTGTTTCCCATTGCTTCAAATAGAACTGGACTGTTGCAGAAAGTACCTCAGTCTTTAGCCTAGGGAGCTATATATTGATCTTTTTTTTTTTTTTTTTTTTTTTTTTTTTTTTTTTTTTTTTTTTTTTATTCAGAGCCATACAACTGATGGATGAGGTAAATACAGACCCAGTTTATAGTGGTGTGCAAGATGAGGCTGAATTATATTTGTAACCTTGTTATTCTGGGGATCACTTGCAGAGATTAATAGCGAAGGCATTTTATTATTACATCTTTAATTGTGGTGACACTGGTGATACACTCTACTTAAGGACTACAAAGCAATCCACAGAGTCCCAAATGTTTCATTTCTTCTGAAAACACACTGCTGGTTGCTTGTGATACTTCTTATAATAGAYCTGTCCCACTCAAAAGTATTTTTCCTCTCCCCAGTTTCAAAGACTTCCCATATCTTGATAATACTACTGACATGAATGAGGCAGTCACAATTTACATTTCCATTTCAATGACAGTTCATGTTTTGTGTGGACATGGTGCATTACTGTATTTTATCTTCCTGCTGCTGTAGACACATCCAGTTTTTGTCATCATCTGAATGAACATGAAAACTGGACTTTTGTGACCCTTTCTCTTTAACCTTGCAGAAAGGCTGGTCCAGAACTCCAAGCTGTGGGTTAAAAACCCTCCTCTACCTTCCAGCTTGCCCAAATGTATTTAACACTACTGTGTATGTATCTTATCTGTTCCATCCTCTTGATTTTAGAGGATTCTCTTCCAGCCCTCCTGTGGTTTGAGGGTAGCCACCACATTACCGTTCAGGTCTTCTCTTTATGTAACAGCCATTCTATTTCTGTGAAGAACTTAACAAACTTTCTGCAACTATATTCCAGTTTGAGGTAATTTTCGCAATATTTTGATGCTGCGTTCTTTCTTCCAGGGTCTACACCTCTCCAACTTGGTACTCTTTTGCTTAAAATCCCTGACTTTGAAGTTTCCAGGATCAGCCTGCTAACCACTATTTATAGCCCACGAGTAGGGTAATCCATCTCTTTTAGTTCCCTATTAGTCACACTCAGTTCAGGGYTGGATTCACTACTGGGATTCCTGTAGTGGCCCATTTTCCAGGAGTCTGGCCTCAATCAAACAAAACCCCCACAGTGTCTGTTACCCAGAATTTAAGCCCAAAAATCTGAAAGCTTTATTTACATACATTTAATTTTTTTYCTATGCATCATGTCTTTACACTGGAAAAAAAGAATTGGAGTAGAATTATATGCTTAGGAAGCAATTCCCTAGAGCAGAAATTTGTTTGGAAAGCAAATGCAGTGGTCTTGGCTGGGATTTCTCAAGGATCAATTTCAGGATCAATTGTTAATATTATCTAGTGGTTCTTTGCATAAAACCAAGGAGGTACAAGTGAAGTTTCTTAATGACATACAACTGGAAGCCAGCAACACAGAGAAATGTGAGTGTMGGTAAAATAAGTGGCCAACAGAAGTGAAATTACAACTTATTGTTCTCAGTGTGAGTTTGTTTTTAGGAACTTATGGTTTAAACTGAGGTAAAATTTATTTCATGTTTTGCAGGCTGATTATAACCTCCCATATGGACTGCTGGGAAGAACATAGTCATCATCTTAAAATGTATCCAGCAAGGAATTTCTGATAGAGACAGAAAATTAGTACTTTTAAAATGAGATTCCATTTGGGATGTCTGAGCCAAAACCATTCCAGATTTGCTTAAAAAGCAATAAGCTTGATGACTACTGTAAATGGGAAACAGAATTGATGGCAATCTTGAGAATGTGGCTAACAAGATAATAGACTTTTTAGCAGGATGTCTGTTGTCCATCAAGTGGTGAAGTACATGGAGATGTAAACAAGACACTTGTGGTATTGWATAACATGACCATACAAACAGGAGTACGTCTAAACACAGCAATTAAAGATACAGAGAGCATGCACTACACAGATGGTGCTGATAATGATTTTAAGTTAGCATATGGATAATGTTAACTGCTAAGAAAGAATGAAAGACACATGGTGGAAGAGAATATATAATAGATGAATTTGTTTTTTAAAAAAATTGCCAGAAGAGTTTTGGTTTTATAGGTCAGTTCCCTCACTTCTGGGTGCTTCTGCTTCAGCCAGTATTCCCATGCTGAGTGTATTAAGGTTTTCCACTCTCACTAGCTGCCTCACCTTTGTTCTGTGTTCAGAATCTCTGAAAGTACATTTCTATTTTCACCTGGTTGTTACAACTACCTTGACCAAACAGCAGGTTCACTTTTTCTACTTGCATGGAAAAAAAACCCTACAAGCAAGCACTCAGCACTACTTTACTAAGTGTAAACCACAAAGAGAACATTATCAAGAGGGACCCTTTTATTTTAKGAGTGTGCAAGATGGACACAAAAATAATTTTTACAGGGGGTCACTGCTTTCCATTAACTTGGAGCCAGGTCCTTGCAGACCATGACCAAGAGTGCTTATAACAGCCATGAAATGCTAAACAAAACAAATTCTCAGGGTGTATTTTTTGTATGCAAAATGAAATGTGTGTTGTTTGGGGACCAGAACCATTCAATTTAGATTCAATGTATGAAACTGGATTTATTTCACCCCTTTGCACAGTCTGAGCCAAACTTGTGAATATTTCACTGCTTTTAAAATGAAAAAAAAAATCAGCCTTTTCTCTTAGGGAACTGCATACTACTAAAACACAGAAGTAAATGCTGTTTGAATTTGTTCTGGAGATTGCTATGATTCAGGAATAATAGCCTAATAGCAACTAAAAAAGAACTGGAATATTTTTTCCTGACTCAGCTCTCTGTAGCACATTGCTCAATACTATTGACTRGTCAAAATGCAGCATTTAAATGGCTTTAACTCCCACATCATAGTTGCAAAAAAAATGCCATCCCTGCTGACGCTAGGAATATAGGGGAGAAAGAGACCTCAGAGACAACAGAAAATTCATTTTGCAAAATAAACAGACAGGTTTCAGTGAAATGGGGAACCATTTTGAGTTCTTAAAGATAAGAAAYGCAATATCCTACATTTGATATGTTGTTATCCTAAGTATAGATGCCTGTCATCCATTTCCTGTTACACTGAAAGTATCGGGAAACCAAAGAGCTTAATGACAAAGGATTTCTGYGGAGCCAAGGTTTGCAGTGCTTCTGCTATGAAACAAATGTCAACTTCTTCTATGGAAGACACATGGTGTCTATTCTATGGAAGAAGTTGATATTCAGCTCTTCAGGGGAGATTTTACACATATTGGCAGTTAAGCTCTCTCCTTAACTTCACTAATTTGATTTTTTCTTTTTATTAAACTGCTCAAGAAGGAACACACATGTTCACATTTACTTGCTGAGAAAAGTAGGCTGGAAGCTGTCCACTTTTCACTGCTTGCAACCCATTCTTACAGGGAGGCTTGCCAGCTGAAATGGAGCAGGCAATGACTTCTTTGTGGATCACACTTGCTAGAGCCAGCCAGGACYCTCCTGCCTCTTGGTATTTAAACAAGGTGTTTATTCAGTACCTGGAGCTGGGGATCAATGAGTTGTGTCAACTGCAACCTCAGACTTTGCCTTACCAGTGGTGTAGAAGTGCAGTCTATGCCAGTGCAGGACAAAGTGCATTGCAGTTTGAATGCCAAGGATATCAACAGCATTCTCCAGCAAAAAAATCTGTAACCACTTGTATTTTCTTGCAGAGGGTGATGAAGAGTGGCAAGGACTGGAGGAAAATGTTGCCCACGTCCCCTTCACTGGCGAGCGCTACTCTGAGGCTGAAATGATTAAAAGGTCACAGGCATTTTATGAGCTTCTRAATAAGAGGCGCTCTGTCAGGTTTCTCAGTGATGAGCCAGTCCCCAGGGAGGTTATTGATAATGTCATCAGAACAGCAGGTATGTACTGAGTGGTTCAAGGTCTGGGAAAAAAAAAAAAAATAGGATCCGCATTGCTGCTCAGCTGTGTAATTGTGGAAAGGTGGTGTGGAAAAGCCAAGGGAATTGCTGTTTTGCTTATGGTTTTCCTAGATTCACCTGTAGCTGGAATGAATTAGAACCTATTGATTGATCGGAAACTGCTCAGCTTGAAAAACAGTATGCCAGAGACTGGTTTGGAGCTCTCCCAATTCCTTTGTATTTGCAGCTCACCCATAAGGGAAGAAGAGCATTTCAACAGCATGAAATAAATCACTTCAATTTCAACCTTTAAAAGATGTKATTTAAAATAAAATTTAGGTTATTGAGACATCTTTGGAATAGAAAGATTGAAGTGTTTTCTCAAAAATGTCAAGCCACATGTTTTTCCCATGCTTTAAAATTTAATGCATTATGGTGATATTTATCATGTGTGGGTTTTGTTTTTTAGATTCCCACCCCAAACAAATTGATGAAATTGTCTCAGCCATGTAAAATATTTTGGTTGACATAAATGGTTGGTGTTTGATAAAGGGGAAGCATTTCAGTCTAGAACAAAAAACCTTTTYCAGTCTTTCCAATAGCAGTGTTGCACATGGCTGGAATGTTAGGCTGAGGACCCTTATAAAGGTTATTTGAATGTCAGAAATTGATTATCTTTTTGTTGTTGTTGAGAATTTATGTGTTTCAAATCATTACTGTCATGTCCTGGCCTAATCTCATCTCTGCTTTAGTAACATTGATTTCAGCCAGGAGTGATTTTGRCCCTCATTATTTTTCTTATTCTATGAGCCATCTCCTGCTAGTATAGAAAATACTCCCAAGCTCCCTTAGAGAAAWGTTCAGTAGCCTTTAGCAGGGTTAATAATAGAAAGATTCGCCACATTTGAGGTGCATTATTTTCCCTTTAAAAACTGTAAGCAGCTTTGTTACTGCACTGTAATGAGTCTCCATCTCCTTCTAATTAACTTGGAGTCATTAAAACACTGAGCATGTTTTGGCAAATGCAGCAAAGCAAACAAGCCTGGCGTACAGATGAAGTACTTAGTAAYCCTGAAAGCTTTGGGCTGTGTAGAGAAAATAAAAACAAAGGGAAGCATAAATGCCATCAGATTTTACCCAAACCTGAGGAGAGGCAAGGTTCACAATATAAAMATATTTCCATTTATCAAGATAGTTCAAGCTGCTTTTTCAACGTTTCTCAAACTAAAATCAGTCCTTAGTATTGTATGTATTCAAGATCTTCAAATATTTTAAACTGTGTAAGAGAGGCCAGAGAGATCTAAGCAGTCTTTGCAAGTATATATCAGTGAACCTGTGCAGATAACTGTATTCTTCAGCCTCTGACTTTTAACCTCTAGGCAGTTAAAATATTCTCCAGAGATGTGAGCAAGTGCAGATTTGATATGTGCACACCTTTCTACACCAGCTGTCTTTGGGACAACGACCTCAAACCTGTGCGCTATATGGCAGATGTCTGTGTTGTACAGCTCCTTATCTTTGTCCTTATCTTTGTCAGTCAGTGACAGGGTCCTGCAGGTTGTCACTTAGCCTTGTTTTCCTGAGAGTCATTATTTTCACCCTTTAGCTAAACCCCGTGTCAGRGTTGACTGTGCTYTGCTCTTGGTGCAACACTTTGTAATACCATTGCTGCATTCATGTATTGCACCATGCTATGTTACTGCCTCCTCCTAAGAAACGCAAAGGAATTTTTTACAAATCCTAAATGATAGCTTCCTGTAAGATGGCAGTAGGAAAGGACTAATGTCTGCCCTTCAATAGGATTTGACATTCTTTGAGAAAGGAATGAACAGGATTGTCTGCCAAAACTTGTCTCAGTCCTTTTCTTCCCATCGCGTTCACTTGCTTGCCCATTGCTCAGCGGGTCAGCCTGAAAGCTCACAAGGAAGAGATGTAACCTTTCATTGCCCACCCTTCTTCCTGGGTTTTCATCTTTCCCTGTTTTTTATGAAGGTACCTCACCTAGTGGAGCACACACTGAGCCGTGGACCTTTGTGGTAGTGCAAGATCCACATTTAAAACATAAGATACGTGAAATTGTAGAAGAAGAGGAGGAAATCAACTACAAAAAAAGGATGGGTGACAGATGGGTTAATGACCTGAAAAGATTGAGGTATGAAAAGTCAGTTAGCTAAGGGGTTTGAAGAGGGCTGTTGTTTCAGTGTAGGAAAGACTTCTATAATTTTCTTTCTTCCTCTCTCTCACTTTTTATATTTTTCTAAGATTCATATTTGGAAACAAAAACTTACAAGTATGTGTAGAATTGTGCCGTCATCRCTGGTTCATAAAATTGCTTCCAGTAAAAGGGATTACATTATCTCCATTTTGAAATATTTCCAAGCACTTGGCTCCATCATTATTTTTTCCTATGTAACCTCAGTGGCTGAAACTCTTGTCCCAGATTTTTCCTATTGTTTGCCAAACAGTGAAACTCCCAAAGTCATTGGGAGCTTTTCTACTGACTGAGGTAGCCCCAAGGCCTTTCCCTATCCRAGTGCTGAATTATACAATATTTAGTTGTTCTAAATGCCCTTCAAAATCTGCCTGACTTCTTAACTTCACACAATGGGAAGATGTCTACTGAGTCTTGGCTTGTCAAATGGAGCACATGCACAAAGCTTTGTAGGGTTGACTTGCCCTGCCTGTTTCAGGGTGCTTAGGTGCTTGCAAATTTATGTGCTATGCAAACAACCAAATGCCAGGAGTTCTTACATTTTGAGTGACAGCAGTAGAAAGCATTCATTTTCTTGTCTGAAATCTATATCGTGATTGTCATTTAATAAATTGGGAAGCAAATGAATTGTAACTGGGATCAAATACCCAGAGTAACTTTTTTTTTTTGCCATGAGAATACATTTAGGTTCAGACATTAGACAAAAAAGTTTTAAACTTTTCTGACAGCAGTTTTCCCCGCAGTGACAAAAAAAAGTTGGCACTGCTGATAACAAGCAAATGTGCAAAATCCAGGAATTAAATAATCTCAAAGGCAAATGCTTGTGAGGCCAGTTCATAGATAAGAGGTCAAGAACTATCTCTTATTTGTATGCMATTCCACCCTTCAGAGTCAGCCCATCAACTCCTCAGCCAAATCTCTTAAAATTGAGAACTCTATTCAAGCTTTTTTTTTTTTTCTGAAATGTTTCTATTTAAACTGATAATACTTAATCCTTCGCAATAATTTTTCTAAGATTTAGTCTACTGCTACAATTGTCATGTACCTTTAGTGCCCCTTTGCAGACAGTAAATGTGACTTACAGGAAAGTGAAAAGGTTCCAAAATAAATGTCTTAAACATTCTTTTGCAGAACAAACTGGATCAAAGAGTACTTGGACACTGCTCCGTATTTGATCCTCATTTTCAAGCAGGTATATGGGCGGCTTCCAAATGGCAAAAAGAAGACCCACTACTACAATGAAATCAGTGTTTCTATTGCCTGTGGTATCCTGCTTGCTGCACTGCAGGTACGTTGACAGAACTGACATACTGGGATTCAATATATTAGTTTGGATTACGTACCAAGACTATTCTGACCAAATGAGGGTGGAACCCAATTTAGATTTTAACATTTTCAATCTTCTGGATTACTCCAGTTCCTAGCAACATGTGTTAGTTTTGGGTATTAAAGTTATTCTGCACAGGTGTACATCTGAGAAGGCGATTCCTGTCCTCAGCATTGGTTAAYGGGAAGAAAATATAACATAGCTTCCAGAGTTGTCCCTCTTCTCTCGGCACAGACTTCAGCCCCTGTGGTTTTTGCCTTATGCTAACAGGGCTGACAGWCTCTTCAGACTACCCAAGCATGACTGTGCAGTGCCATACTGTCCCCTTCTATTCAGTAATCCCTATAAAACAACTTGACACCAAATCACTTTTAGTATACAATGCTGAAAAAAAAAAATATCAGGGACATAACTCCACAGAACAGGCTGTACTATTTCAATGAGTCTTTCTGAAGCATTTTTGAAAGTGAACTGATTTCTAAAGCTCAGCATGTTTGACACCAGCCAGTTAGATTTTCTCAGTGGTTTCTCWGTGCTCAGTTCTGCTCCTTCTATCTGATGTACTCACACAAGTGTTAAATAGAGAAGCTATTCTGATAGTTAACCTGGCCTGTCAGCAAGATAACAGCAAGGTGCCTCCTCTTATATTAGGCCAGTTTCCCACCAGGCACTGCCATTTCTCCTCCATTCTGTTTTGAATGACACTTCCTTTTGTGCATTGCTGCTCCTCAGGCACCATTCAGCACCACCACTATTATCTCTTCTCTTGAGAAGATTGCAGAGATTACTTAACATGACAGATGCATTTCCTGGGCACCTCTCCCTGGCTGACTTTTGTATCTCAAAGCCTCCAAAAATGCTTGCATTACATAAACAGAGAGACTGAAATCCACACGTGCAGCTCTCAGGAAGCGACTCAGCTGTGTGGTCATACCTTGGATGATGCCAGCTCTTTATTGTTTGCCATATTTTTTTAGGGTTTTTGTGAGATTTTGTGTGAAAGGAAGAGTGATACATAGACTTATTTTGGGATTCTGATGTAATCCATAACAATAGCCACTGTCAGARGAGCCAACATACTCCTGTGACAACTTCTGAGGCACAGCCTGTGCCACCTGTATCCCTGTGGGGTACAGCTCTTGTGAAGGAGCAAGTATTCACATGGCTGTAAGGCATCTTCCTGCCAGCTGCATGGAGGCAGGAACTGAAACAGTTCTGTGTAAGAGCCAGATCACAGAATCATGGAATAGTTTGGTTTGGAATGGATGCTTCAAGGTCATCTAATCCAACCCCCAGCCCCATGGGATGACATTCCAATCATATTCCCACAACTGCCTCTCAAGTTCCCCACAAATGGAGCGCTGCAGGMAGGCTCTGGCTGTACAGCACACAGACATGGCAGGCAGACTGTGCTGTTGCTGTGGTGGAGAAATGCTCTACTTCTCTGTAAGCAGAAGAACCATCTGAGGCTGCTGCCAAATCAGATGTCCCACAGGCTGCAGCAGGGTCTAAGGAAGCAGCAGTTCAGGAGTGCTCAGTAGAAGGATGTGCACAGGTGTGGTGGGAACAGCTGCTAGCACAGGGCCCGCAGCTCTGTCTCACTCTGCTGCTGTCTGTCTCGCTGCAGAACGCGGGGCTGTACACGGTGACCTCCACACCCCTCAACTGCGGCCCCCAGCTCCGGGTGCTGCTGCAGCGCCCGGCGAACGAGAAGCTGCTGCTGCTGCTCCCCGTCGGCTATCCCAAGAAGGACGCCACCGTGCCAGCGCTGACTCGGAAGCCGCTGGAAGACATTATGGTGGTGATGTGAGCCCAGGGCAGGAGGATGGAGTGCATCCCTGCTGGCAGCTGCAATTGTCCCTGCTGTTTCTGTGCGTTGTCCCGCTATGTCGCTGTGTCTCTGGCTGTTTACACCTCTATTTCTTTTAGTGCTACTAATCTGCTATCAGCAGTGAGCAGTCAGGCACTGTGCCTTTGGCAGCTGCTGCTCCCTGTATGGCCAGAGCGTTGTTCCAGGGGATGTGTACAATGGCATTTCAATGACTTTCATCACTTGATTTTTCTCATGCATTGTGGGGACAAATCTCTTCTTGAACTAGAATATATATTTTCCTTATACTATTGTGATTGCCATTGCAGAGTCATTTTAACTTAAAGATTTTAATGAAGGTTGTATTAAAAGTTACAATGAGGTCAAAATCAGCTCTCATGTCTTGGTCAGTGTGTGCTCTTTAAATCCCGCTTCCCCTTCACTGTGTTCAGTAATGTGTAGAAAGAGGCTATTTTTGTCCTACATGGTAGGATTTCTCTACGTAATTGATCTCTCGTATAAAGTTTTTTTTCTTCACCTAGTGCTGCTACAAGTGTCTTAGGTTGGGGGAAATTTAGTACAAACAAGGCTTACAAGTAATTTGCCAGTTACCATTTATTTATTTACACACGTTCCAGGCACAGTTCGATCATGTGGTCGCGATCAATCCTGCCCCCTGTATTTGCTGCTTCCACTGGAAGCAGCACAGAGGGAACTACTATTCTGCTTATCCTGTTTATACCTGCAACTGTAGCAGTTTAACGCCTTGAAATTGAAACTGCTTTAGAGACCCTGACASGTGAGAGGCGCTTTCACGTCGCTTAGGGAATCCAGGGATTTGGGAGCGGCGCGTTGGAAGGGCTGGCGCTGCCATGGCCGAGTGGGCAGAGCCCCCTCGTGGGGCAGCGAAACGGGAAAGGGCTAAAGGGATACGTTCTTCCTGCAGCTCTGTCTGCTCTGGGGAACGCTTTCTCTGATCTCTGCTGCCACCAATGTCAGGCAAATTCAGCCAAATTRGCTTCAGCTGTCCTTGAGGGATGAGAGGATGGAAAGCACAGCCGTGAAAGGGCCCTGAGGGCCCTGGTGGATGGCAGTTGAACATGAGCCAGCAGTGCCCTGGCAGCCAGGAGGGACAGCCCTGTCCTGGGGCATCAGGCACAGCATCGGCAGCCGGGCAAGGGAGGGGATTGTCCCGCTCTGCTCTGGGCTGGGGTGGCCTCACCTCGAGTGCTGGGGGCAGTTCTGGGTGCCACAATGTCAGAAAGACATTAAACTGTTAGAGAGTGTCCAAAGGAGGGCAATAAAGATGGTGAAAGGTCTTGAGGAGAAGTGGCTGAGGAGCGGCTGAGGTCACTCAGTCTGTTCAGCCTGGAGGAGACTGAGGGAAGACCTCATTGCATCTACAAGTTCCTTGTGAGGAGGAGGGGCAGACACTGATCTCTCTGGTGACCAGGGACAGGACCCGAGGGAATGGCCTGAAGAGCTGGGGGAGGTTTAGGTTGGATGTTAGGAAAGGGTTCTTCTCCCAAAGGGTAGCTGAACACTGGAACAGCTCCCCAGGGAAGTGATCACAGCACCAACCTGACAGATCAAGAGGCATTTGGACAATGCTCTCAGGCACAGGGTGTGACCCTGGGGGATGGCCCTGTGTAGGGTCAGGAGCTGGACTCGGTCCTTGTGGATCCCTTCCAACTCAACAGATTCTGTGATTCTGAGTTAACTCCCTCCTTATCTGAAATCTATCCTGATCTAGTGGAAGGCTCAGGAGGGGGTTTGGAACTATGTGATCTTTAAGGTTCCTTCCAATGCAAACCATTCTATAATTCTATGATCAAATCCCATTTGCCATCACTTCTTGTCAGCTGAGCAAATGGAGTGGATAATGTTTTGCAAAAATACATATTTTGGCCATGTCAATGCCTCTGTTACCCAGTGGGAAAAACTATTTTCCTCATTGACAGACAATTTTGCTGGTATTTAGCAGATAAGGCTGTGTGTTCACCTGTTGTACTAGCCCTGCTTCACATTCTCAGTGGTACAGCTATGGCAGGAAGYTTCTCATGCARGCCTAGTCTGAAATGASCTCYTGTAACTCAGTCAAATAAAATTTAAAGAATCCTCCCCACCCCAAAATAAAACCAAGCAAAACCAAACCAAACAAACAAAAAACAAACAAAACAAAGTGGAAAAAAAAAAAAAAAAAAAAAGGAAGTTCTGTGTCTACACATTTTCAAGGTCTAAAAACTAGTAAGGGAGCTGAACCGAGCCAAGAAGCCAAGGCTGCTCTGCCCCATCAAACCCCTTCACAAGCAGTTTGTACCCACTGGTACTACTGTGTTTTACTTTGGAGTCCACACCAACACAGGGAGGACTGAATCCCTGTCATGTTGCAGTGTTTCCTACAGAAATAAACTCTCAGCTACAGAAATAAATKGTTTCTGCCAGGTCTCAGCCTGCAAAATAGATGACGCTCAGAGAAACTTTGCCAAACAAATTCAGTTTCAAAGAGCAGGAGCTTGCATATATAAGGTATTTCTAGTGTGGTTTCATAACTAAAAACCAAAKAACTAAAGCAGTTTAAAAAAAATATTCCAAAAATACAAGCAGTGGTATATACCAATATACCTCTTCACACCAAAGAAGATTATTTTTTTTTTCTCCATGTATTAATTCTGGAAACTAAGATACACATAATAGTTGGAAAACTCAAGCCCTCACACCTACTAGATGGGAAAGATTCTATCCAAAAAGCATTTCTGGAATAATGAAATATAAGTAAAATAAACTGGTTTTTTCTTTTTTTTTTTCTTTTTTCTCCCTCCTTTACAAATGCTTATTCAAATGGAAATACTTCAGTTGCTTTACAACTGCTGATGATACTGCAGAGTCTGTTGTAAATCATATTAGTGCTCCTGTTGTGACAAGCCTACTTGGAAATAAGTGCACTGTCTTTACTTAAAACACAATCAGAGAATAATAAATTTTGCCTTTCCATGCAGCACATTGTTGAATAAAATAAAGGTTCGCATTTGAATTGTTTTACATTTAACTAGGGATACCTGTTGGGCATTTGTTCAGTTTCAAGGTAAAAAATGGTTTTATGCTATCTAAATGGAGTTTCCCATGTTTCCATAGTGTCCATTGCCTGTTGGCCTGGTGCCCTCTATCTCCAAGAGAAGCCTGGCTTCATCTTTTCTGTATCTTTCAATCAGGTAGCTGCAGAGAGCAACTAGTTCCCCCCATTTCTAGGATCTTTCTTCCTTGAATTGTGTGGACAAATTTGTGTGCATTCATGGACTCTCACTGTCTGAAATTTGTCAGRCAAATGCTCTTGAAATCAGGTGCAACACGGTGAGTTGAGTGACAATCCAGATAATTAAAGGAATAAGAATCACATTTGTTGGAATCATGGCCAACTGCCCATCTCCTTCCACTGCACGGATGAGCAAACTGGCTTTGTCTGCCCTTGAACACGGAGCTGTAAGATATTGCAGCTGGTGCTTCATTAGCAATCCAGCTGGCCATKCCATGAGGGCAGGGAGGCATTATTCCTGGAGCAGCACCACCTTACCCACTCCACCATCTTCATTTCAAGACAGGTGAGCCAGAACCCAAAGGATGCTGCTAGAAAGTATTTTTTAAATTTTTTTAATATTAGTGATTCCGAGTGCAAGGTCTGAGGACTCGGTCACGCTGGTGTATGTGCCCATCTCCTCCATAGCTGTGTGATCAAGTGTAAGATTCCYATAAATTAGCTGGGCTGTGGTAACCATCTGAGTGCTCTCTGCTTGATGAAAATAGCAGGTTGTCTGTATTTAACTTCTTTGCAAATAGTTTCAAGCTAAGTGCTGTTAACTTGCATTTGACAGAAATAACTGTTCCYGGGAACAGTTACTGGGTCTGAGCCAGTGCACAGGGATGTAGCAGCTATAGTTTATCAGTTGTGTATTTGAGCATTTCTTACCATATAGATTCACACTAGCACAATAAAAGTAAAACACCTTCTGGGTGTGAGGAAGTATSAATGTGGTGCTGTGTATCCCAGATKAACAGAAGTACACAAACCCCTACCTCAGGTTGTGGTTTTGTTCTGATTAAGCTGCAGCACTTCAAAGACATTTAAGCAAGTATATATGCAGTCAGCATCTGATTGATTTATTTCTTTAATTGCTACATTGATCTCATGGGCCCATGAAAAATCAATCTTGAGAAATAATCCAGCTTGCACTCCAAGGCAGCCTCAGCTGTACTTGAATGCCAGGTACTGACAAAGCATGAATCCACAGCACTAATAAACTGCTCCCAGCAAAAAAACTTGAAAAGAATAAAAATGCAAACGCTAACTCTGCCTGCACATCCAAGTCCTAAGAAAYTTTTGTTTCCAGAGGGGCTCAGCCTTGCAATTGTGTTGTGTCACTGGTCAGACCTCCACAGAGATCATTAGGAAGAGGTTGGGCTGCTATATGGTTTTTGAAGATTTCCACCCACCTCTGCTTAGTCAAAGTAAGAACTGCAAAAGTAGAACAGACTCATGACATAGAACTCTCAAGGCCTTTAATTTTTTTTTTTTTTGGCTAACATTACCCATATCATGCATCTACGAGAACGAAGCCTTTGCCCATATAGGTAGAACTCTCCTGTGCTTGTGCGGTGTAAATAATGAGAACACTTAATGACGTGAGAGCTGGGCAGTAAGTCCACTTACTGGACTTTAAGATGGAAGAGCATCACTGAAGCTGGGATCAGTGCAGCAGCAAGTTACCAGATCCACATCACGCCCTGTTCCAAGTTGTGTGCGTGTAATAACCTTAGCTACAAGATTGGAACTGAGTTGATCCAGCTCTGGTAGAAACAACGAAGACGTTCCAAGACCCAGGTAACACAGTGTAAGACATGGGAAACAGTGGTGATCGGTGAGATGGATAATGACTATAACCTCAAGGCATCAGTTACCAAGTTTTTTGAGACACAGAATCAAAAGATGAGGATTTGAAGAATTTTTAAGAGAACTCTTGGAATTTTTTTATGAGGAGTGTCCTGTGCCTGAGGGTAGGCTCTTGTCTATTACTTGAGGGTAAAATCTTGAAACAGAGATCACAAGCGACCCAGCTTGAAAGGGTGACATGAGTGCAACAGTGTTGCCCTACAATGTGACAACATTGCTAAAGTTATCCCGAGGAGCACCTCACGCAAATACCAAGTTCAAAGTGTGAATATTGGAGTCAGCTGGACAAAAGCACAGCTGGGGAGGCCCAGAGCAGTCACAGATATGCTTTGAAGAAAGGATCTGCTTTAACAGGCTGACTTTTTTTTTTTTTTTTTTCAGTTGGATATGCAGTAGGGACACTGGTCTGTAGATTAGGCACTGGATTTTAATGAAGCTTCTGTGTCA